CTGGTATTCTCTGCTTTCAGCCAAGATCCATCTGAGATCAGCAATGATATCCTTTGTTTCACATCCTCCTCTGAATCTGGCTTTAATTTCTGGCAGTTCCCTTTTGATATATGGCTACAACTCTTTTTTAATTATCTTCAGCAAAAGTTTACTTGCATGTGATACTAATGATATTGTTCGATAATTTCTGAGCACCCAGCATATAATAAGTCATGCATAATAAATATTAAGTAGTGGAAAAATTGATGCATTTGAATTATGGTGTTGGCGGAGAATATTGAATATATCACAGACTGCCAGAAGAATAAACAAAACTATCTTGGAAGAAGGACAGCCAGAATGCTCCTTACAAGTTAAGATGACAAGACTTCTTTTCACATACTTTGGACATGTTATCAGGTGACACCAGTCCCTGGAGAAGGACATCATGCTTGCAAAGTAGAGGGTCAGCAAAAAGGAAGAAGACCCTCAACAAGATGGACCGACTCAGTGGCTGCAACAGTGGGCTCAAACATAGCAACGAGTGTAAGGATGGCGCAGGACCGGGTAGTGTTTCGTCCTGTTTTACATAGGGTCACTATGAGTGAGAACTGACTTGATGGCACCTAACAACAACAGCAAGAGTCTTTACAGGAGGAGATTACTGGGTCTCTCTCCTGTGAAGCTGCTGGGTTTGCTTGTTGGTCCAATTCTGAGGATTTTTGTTTTCTTTATGTTGCGGTGTGATCCATACTGAAGACTGTAGTCTTTGATCTTCATCAGTAAGTGCTTCAAATCCTCTTCGTTCTCAGCAAGCAAGGCTGTGTCATCTGCATATCACAGGTTGTTAATGAGTCTTCCCCCAATCCTGATGCTGCATTCTTCTTCATACAGTCCAACTTCTCAGATTATTTGCTCAGCATACCGATTGAATAAGTATGGTGAAAGAATTCAACCCTGACACACACCTTTCCTGATTTTAAACCACGCAGTATCCCCTTGTTCTGTTCAAACAACTGCCTCTTGGCCTATGTACAGCCTAGAAATTACAGCCTAGAAAACCCTACGGGGAAGTTCTACTCTGTCACATGAGGTCACTATGAGTCAAAAATTGACTTGACGGCACCTAACAACAACAATGACCTTCTGCTCCGTTTGACCCCAAAGCACTCATGCAGATGTCTACAGCTCTGGACAAACAGCTTTTCCCCATGATTTCCTGGTTCAGCCTCTACCCACTCTGGCCCAGAATCTTTGATCCCTGGCTCAGAAAGAGACGGGACACATCTCTTCTGTAAGGTTTTGGTTGACTGGTGCCTAGGAGACCTGGGGGTAGCAGAGGGAAAGCACTGTGCTTTCTAAGAGCACCTCTACTCAAGTCACACCTCACCACCAGCCACACTGAAGGCAGCCAGACAGCTTCAGTAGGAGTGAGGAGGTGAGACAAAGTGTGCCCTCCTCTGATAGTCCCAGGGCAGAGCTGGGACTGAACAGTGTACCCCCTGGCAACCAAGCGGAGGCACGTCCATGAAGTACTCCCTCTACTGGCCCCAGGGTATGCCTCACGTACATATTAAGGGCTGCTCATCCATTCATAAAACCAGGCATAATAATACCATGTGAAAAGAATCCTGTTTCTTCAGGAAAGAATAAGATTTTATACTGGGCATAAGTGGCAGCAAGAGAGAATGAAGGAAAAAGAACTGGAACAGAAAGGCTGAGGATCCAAGGGGTTCAGATGGGGTCACCCCCATCCCTGCTTGGTCCCTGCAGTTCTGGCTACAGAGGGCAGTGGGCAGAGCCTGAGCTTTCAAACCCGGCCAACTTTGGGAAACGTGAGTACCACTCACGAGCTGGTTATCGTGCGTTACAGGATGTTGTTGAGCTTCAGCATCCTCAGCTCTGAAATAAGTACCACCACCTACTTCAGGGCTCACTGCCATCACTGTGCAGATGAAATGGGGTAACCTTGGTGTAGGGCTTGGTAACAAACAGGTGATTGGCAGAGGGGAATTTCTTTTTGCTCCTTGGCTGCTGTCATTCTAGGAGAAACATTTTACCTCTTTTCTTCCCGGGGTGAAATGGAGAAAGGAATGAAAATGTTTATTTTACAATGATTAGACAAAAAGCTATAAATAAATAAAAATGAAATGGTTAGTCAAACACTGGCCAGAATTGGTATAGGGGTCATAGCCTACTATGAATTACTTATTTTCTAGAAAATCAGACACGCTTAAGGAATTAGTATAGCCTCTTGATTTTATCTAGGATTTAATGCATATGGGCCCCTGGCAGTACAAATGTTTGCCCCTGAAGGAAATTAAACAGTCAGCTGAGGGAGAGGAGATGGAGCTACTACTTCATGGGCTGCTGCATACCTGGATGCGCCTGGTTGGCCTCCTTGGGGGGATTCTGGGGAGTTGGCAAGCTGATGGGGTTGCTGCTGGATTCGGCCTTAGCCTCCTGAGATGCACTGGTTGATGATGGTTTAGAAGACATTACAGCAGAATGACTCGAATGATGGATGGAATCTATAAACCCATGAATGAAAGAAAATGTTCGGTCTTCCTTGGAGAACAGGAATCCTGGCCTTATATTTAACCAGGGTTATCAGGGCTAGCAGCGTTCATTTCCTCGCTTTCCTCAGGGGTGAGGCAAGCCACCTTAGGGTGATAGTGGGGCTAGGAGCCATGGAACCATGAAAATGGTACCTCTAAAAATATCAGGCAAGACTGGCAGCATCTGTGGACACCCACAGATGTTCAGGGGACACTGCTCAGGAACTGCAATTAGCAAGATCACCACAGAGAGGTGAGATGTCCCATTTTAAAGGAAGAGGTCTAGCAGACAGACACTGTGCACATGAGGCAGAGGTTAAAATGATTAGCCACTCTCCCCACTATGTCTTGCCTTGGGTCCAACAGCATGTGCCAGTAGAGGGTGGCAGAGGTGACTTCTAGAGTCGGGAAGAGAGCAAAGATTCCTGAACCACTGAGGCCTGTGCTTGGCACTTGGTTCCAGAGCCATGTTTAGCATGATGCACACCCAGATGGATCTATAATGCCTGGTTACAGAGGTTTCCCCTTACCCTAGGAAAAGGTGGTATCACTCAGAAAGTGCAGCTACCTGAGTGACTAGGGAAAGCTTTCTTCTCTTCACAGTGTGTATACTCGCTGGCTGTGTCCATGTCAGAACAGGCTTCCAGCTCATCAGACAGAAAGGACATGCTGCTGGGAGAGCGGTGGGAGTCAGATAAGGCCTGGCTGCTGGAGGGGGTTGGGAACCTGGCATCCAGTTTGGCTTGCAGGACTTCAATCACTTTCTCCTTCTCCTGCAGCTCCCTGCTGAGCCTGGTGGGGTGAGGGAGGACAATAGATGAGATCAAGGCCACCTGGACCAGCTAGTCCTGATGAAGGCTCATGGGAAAAGCTACATAAGCCAGATGACCACAGATAGTTTGAGAAGTACTATGTGGTCTAAGGTACACTCATGACACAGAGGCTCAAACTGTAGGCTGCAACTAACTCTGAGCCCATATTTTATTGACCATTATATGTAGTGAGTCATGGAACACTGGCTTCTGAGGCAATGTAGCTTCTCAGACATCTGCAACTCTAGGCCTCTTTCACTAGGTACTATAATCTGATTCTCTTTTTTTCCCAAGGAAATGGGGTGGCTGTTAAACTAGTTTTCAACCAATTTGGAGCAGGCCAACCTTACAAAAAGCTCACCCTGGGCTTTAAACACACAGGAGGAAAACAGGAGACCCCTGAGGATGCTGAGGACTCCTAAAATCTTCCTAGTATCTTTAAAAGATCTATTATGAATTCAGAAACCCTGGTAGCATAATGGTTAAGAGCTATGGCTGCTAACCAAGAGGTTGGCAGTTCAAATCTACCAGGCATTCCTTGGAAACCCTATGGGGGCAGTTCTACCCTGTCCTTTAGGGTCACTATGAGTAGGAATCAACTCAATGGCAATGGGTTTGGTTTGGTTTTTTATTATGAATTCACTTTTAGGCCAGACTGACTCTTAGCTGCTATATCTGGAGAATTAATGTACAAATGGAAATCAACAGAATCACATCAAAAGAGACTAAAGAACTCACTTAAACCAACATTAAGGTGTTGAATAAATAAGTGAATTCATTGCAATCAGCACTGAATTCCTTTTTTTCACCAAATTGGGAAGTTGCAATCACCCTTGACCGCATGAGCCTTGCTCCTAATTTCTTTGAGATCGTATTATGAATTACCTGAGGGCCAGTGGCTCAAGTCCTACTTGATTCTTCTCACTTTTATGATCCTCTGCAAACCAAATTCAGAGACAAACAGTAAGAAATTAAACAGGTCTTGCATCAAACAGTACAAACATACGGTCTTATCCCGTCAAAGAAAAGTGATTATTTTATGTGTGCATCCAGGATACTCTGGGAGAATTGCTCTGGGAGGTATCGGGTTGTGTCTTGAGAGAAGTGGCATGGCAGGCTTTTCTGAGCTCACCGGGCAGACCTTCCCATACCCGGTGATCACCATCTTGACTTCCTCTGCCTTGAATCAGGACAAAAAGGTTAAAACATCCTTTGACCCAATGATCATAAGGCCCTTGCCCAGCTGCCCTCTGGAACACTCTAGCCCCCAAGTCCTACCACTAGGCTGATTCCCAGCTGCACCGCTGTGTGTCCCAGCACGGCTTTAATGTAGAACCTACTGCTGTCTCTGAGGAGATGAGAACCTACCCTGTTACATCTCTGCTCCTGCCACCTGGAGATGGAATATCTGGCCCTCAAATGTGATCCTGCTGAACTCTCTGGGATGCTCTCAGGAAATTCCCATAATAAAGGACTCCAATAATAACCAACATTCCTAGCCCTGGTACTACTACACTCAGTACCTAAACCATGTCCAAAAGAACATGGTGCTTATCCATGCTGAAGTATATTCATGTGTAATACCATGTAATAAACAAGGACTTTTGCAACAAATGAAGAAACAAAGACACGAAAAGGATAAATCCAAATGATAACATCCAGGTTGTAGTTTGGGTCTTGCAATTCTTAGTTCAGGTCTCTTTTCATACAATAAGCTCCTCCTGTCTTATCCCTTTTCCTTTCCCTTAGCACTGGATGGATGCTGCCTCCTTCCTCAAAGCTCATATTCTATGACTGGTGAAGTTTCTATAGTTGTAATCATGGCATCTCCAACCCTGTGTGTTCTACCTTGATGCTCCCTACCAGCCAGTCCTGAGCCTGGAATAGACTCCAGGAGAGAAACTAGAAACAAGATCCTGGGTGAAAAAGCTGTTTGTGGACCTGTGATGAACACCTGTGCCTGGGACTGTGGCAGTGATGGAGTACTCCAAACACCTGTGGCCAACTTACTGGTGCTGAGTTTGCTGGTGAGCTTCTCTGCCAGCTGGCTTCCCTGGGCAAGTAGCTCCCGAAAGCTCTGCCCCAGGTAGTAGTCAATGTCATTACTCCTTAGGAGGTCTTCGAAAGATTTTATTGCATCTTTCACATGCTGGGTGAGAAGGTAACAGATACCCCTCGCTTCTCGTATTTTCTGCCGTAGGTAAGATAGTTCTCGGGCTTGATCCTGAATCAGGGAATTATATTTCCTAATGTAGGAAAGATGAGAAAAGACTCAGAATGGAAAAGAGCAAATGATAAGTTACAGGGGCTTCTGCAGAGATTTCTGTGAGAAGATCTCCAAAGAACTCCCCAAGCTGAACATTAGCACATAAGCTATAAAAGCTAAGTAAGAGTAAAGTCTGTTCTGAGAAAGTATTGCATCAAACAATTTTCAATATGTTAGTCATATGTCCAAAAACAAATCATAAATTCTGTGAGGGTAAAGACAGTGACATATTTTATATCCCTTACAGCACCAGTATAGTGCTTGAGTGACATCACCTAGACATGTAAGCTCCCTCCCTCCACTTTCCCCCTCTCTCTTGGGAGTTCCCTTGCCCTCTACTCCTTCTTGTAGCTGCCTGTATTGCTTACCTTTGGAGGGTCACCTTCTGCAGGGTACTGCCCCCCACATGCAAACTGGCAATGTGTCATCAAAAAAAAAAAAAAAAAAAAAAAAAACCCACTGCCATCGAATCAATTCCAACTCCTAGCCACCCTATGTAGGGGTTTCAAGGCTGTAATCTTTACGGAAGCAGACTGCCACATCTTTCTTCCATAGAGCAGCTGGTGGGTTCGAACTGCCGACCTTCTAGTTGGCAGCCAAGTACTTAACCACTGTGGCACCAGGGCTCCTTCATCAGTGTGTCAGACCCAATAAATTGCTTGTTGTACAACACTGCCGTCTCGTGGTCATATCTTTTTCCTTGACAAGCCCAGACTGAAACACATTACACTTACCCAGGCCATGAAGCTGACCTCAGCTCCTCTGCCAGCTTCCCCTCCAGTCCAGTTTTCGGGAGCTGGGCCTCCAGTTGTGACACTCTCTGGATGAGACTCTCTAGATCCTTTTTGGCCTGAAGCCCTGGGGGGTAGAAAGCTCCAGTGCCATCAGACAGCCACCCTTCATCTTCATCAGTGGATCTATGAGGTGAAGACCCCTCCAGGGTGCCGAAGGCCTTCAGCTTTTGGGGTCTTTCCAGACTAGATGAATAATCACTTGTAACCGAGAGGGATCGTACCCGGCTCTTGAGGTTTTGAATGACCTTGCTGGCATTCAGCAGCTGGGCCTTTAGATCTTTGATGTCCTTCTGTAGGACAGAGATGTCTTCTGACTGTCCATATGCCTGGAACTCCTTCTGCTTCCCTAGCTGCCTCTCCAGGGGCTTCTTCCTGGGGGGACTCGTTAGTGCCAAGCCCAGGCGCTCCTGCTCAGAACTCAATCCCTCCATCAGGACTGTTTGCCTGAGGCTGCCATGTTCTTCACACTCTGAGAAAAGACAGAAATATCTTCTTCAATAAAAGCCAGGTGTGCTGCTGAAGCCATTCCCTTCACGGAGGAGGCAGGTTTAGTCATGAGGATAATTATCAGTAGAGCAAGAGTTGAAACAGTGTTTTATTCAGCTCCAGCACTGTACTTGGCATTCAAGTACCATATTTCTTATCCCCCAATAGCCCTGCAAATCAAGGGTGATTACCTTCTATTTGTCTCAAGGACAAACCAAAGCTCAGAGAGATATAAACCAACTTGCTTTAGCTCATTCAAACTAGTACAGGGCAGAGTCAGTGTTCACTTCCTCTGATGTCTGGCTGCAGAGCCTGTGCCCTTTCCACACACATCGATGTGTTTTAATGTAGACATTAACACAGGCCTTATATATTTAGGATGGCCACAAGAATTCTAGGACAAGTTGTTCCTGACTGCTGAAAGTTTATTAATCCTCAAATATTACAATGACTTAAAGTTTATCTGGTTACAACTCTGTGAAAATAGGCATAGGAATAAAAGAACTCAAAGAAATATATCAGCTGCATAGCCTAACAATGGCTGTGTTAGGGTTGTGTGGTAGTAAGAATGAGAGCTAATACATAGTGTTTGACCAGGTGACAGGCACTCTTCTAAAGTATTTTGCAGGAATTTACTGATTTTTGACATTTATTACTATTTTAATAGATAAGGAAACTGAGGCACAGAGAAATTCACAAATTAGGATTTGAACCAATCTGGCTCCAGGGTCTTTGCTTTTAACTACCACACTAAACAGCCTCAGTGATGAGAGGGATCATGAGTGCTTTTCTCTTCTTGGTTTTCAATTTGGTGGGCAGTGCTATGTTTATAGTCCTTTTATAATGAAAAAAAAAAAATTTTAACTTATGGTTTGCCTATCCCCAAAAGCTTATCTGGTCTCTTCGTTATTAAGTAGGTCTTAGTATTCTTTTTAGATAATCAATTCGATAAAACTTTTTTTTTTTTTTTAACAGTAGTATGCTGAAAAGTGATGATAGAAATTCAGACTCACACTTAAGCTCATTTTGGGCAAGTTCTCCAAACTTCCTGTCCCTCTCTAGTCCTGAGTCCCCTTCTTTCACAACACTTCCCTCCCCCATTACTGATATTAGACGTGGGATTGACCAACAGCACCCAAAGATGAACACTGACTCCAGGATGAGACCCCACATGCTGTGCTTTTACCAGGGCTGGTTGTCTCCTCCCGCTCAGCCTCATTCTCACTTCGGCCACATGTCTCATAGCCCAGATCCTGGAGGTCAACCTGGACCTGCTTGCTGTCCTGCTTCACCAAAGATTCACCTGCTTGGGGAGAGACACAGTGGGTGTTACAAAGCATCTGAATTTCCAGCTAACACCCTCAACCTCAATGGCACATAACCTGGCACTTGGGGCAGGGGCAGGTCCAATCCAGAGTAGGATAGATGCTTCTTTGGACTCATAGGAGAAGAGATCACCTGCTCCAGGTAGTAGGACTCCCCTCCACCAGGATGAGCCTATGTTTGCCATTGATGATCTCACCTACAGATAACCTAGGATTAGTTGGGACCAGACATCTTTAAGTCAGTATTGCATGCTCTCATCTCTAGAAGCCCCAGTGAAACAAACAAATGATTTATCCACAAGGGCTCAGGAAATGTTTGAATTGAGCTGAACAAATTAGAGTCCCAAGACACCTACACCCGCACTGTCCAATAAGATAACCACTAGACACATGTGGCTATTTTATACTGAATTAATTAAAATTAAACAAAACTCAAAATTCCTGAGTTGCATTAGCCACTTTTCAAGTGCTCAGTAGTCACTTGTGATATAGATATAAAACATTCCCAGCACGACCAACAGTTCTATTTGACCACACCGATTCTAGACCAAGAGTGACAATCTGTTTTTGTAGAATCTGACGTAGTGCAAAGAGAACAGAAACAATTAGTACATCTTGAGAGAGGCAAGGTAGTCTATTGGCTAGACCAGAAATCAACAATCTTAGATTTTAAGCCCAGTTCCCCCCTATACTCCTGCTGCAAACTTAAATCTTACTATTCCTTTACTCTTCACTATCATCTCCAAATTTAAAGTCAAATATCCACTTCCACAATTCTAAGACTATGGGCAGGATTAAATTTATTTTGAAGTTAGGGGAGAAAATGAAGTCTGCAAAGCATGTAGCTTCTCAGAGAAGACAGGTGATGGTGAACCTGTAAGACTCACTAAACATGACTCTGTATTTCTCCAGCTGGTTGGCCTGGGCAAAGACTGTGGCTTCCGATATCAGTAGCTTCTCCTGGAGGTCTTGGTAGTGTTGTTTGCACTGTGCCAGCTGTGAGCGCAGGTGCTTGGTGGATCCCGGGAAGCTAAATTCTGCCTGAGGCCCAGGGTCACTGGCTTGGGACAGGTTATCCATCTGTGAAAGGATCCAGCACAGGCATCAGAACAGTCACCAAAGTCCTTGCCCACACTGTAAGGGCCACTTCCCTCGCTGGACCATGTGTACTTTATTCTTGTTTCTGTCACAGCACTTCCCATGCCATTTAGCAGTTATTTGCTGCCCAGAGCTCCTTGGGAGCTGGGATAATGTTTTTTCATCTCTGTATCCATAGCACATAGAACAGGGCCAACGGCATCTACTGAGGAGTTCTCAGTATAGGTTTAAAGAGAAGTGGTGGAAACCTCCACTCATCTCTCTATGTGCTCCTGTCCCAGCAGTCCTCTCAGAAGCCTTTGCACTTTCCATCTTACTGAATTCTCAGCAAAGCCCCTCCCTTCAGTGGATCCTGACAGATACCCTTTTAGGCCCAGAGGCAGATGCCCATGGTAAGCTATGTTGAAAAGGGCAGTGATAAGGAAGAAGTGTCATTATACATCACTCATTTGGGTTACCTTAAAACCTGATGAATCCCTGTATTATTGCAGTTACAACATCAGATTGAAATTATCTGTTTCTGTGCCGTTTTCCCTATCACACTGAGTGTGTGAAGGGCAGAGACCAGGTCTTATTGCCCACTATCACCCATTGTCTAGAATGTTATCTGGAAAATGAAGAACTCAAGTAATATGTATGAGATAATATTGTAAAAGCCTTTGTAAAGGCTAAAACTGTGATGAATATTACTACTATTTTTACTGTTTTTGGTGCAAAGATCCACTTCCCTTGTCCCCTCCTGAACTCAGGGCAGAACTGTGTAAGGTAAGAACTGACATCTCCAGCCCTTCTCCAAGTGTCCTTCATTCCAGCTAAGCCCACACTTACTTGGTGGGCATCCGCTGAGAGGGCAGCCCCAAGTTCAAGGCTCTGGGGTCTTCGGCAGGGCCTCATAGTTGCATCTTCCTCCTCATGGCATTGATGCTTCCCAGGAGACCAAACCAGCTCTTTGTTTATTCTGTCAATCTTCCTGGCCAGTTGCATGAGGAACTCTGGAGTAATTTTACTATTCCCTTCCTTGCTGCTCAGCACCAGCTGCTCATTGAGGAGGTTGATGATGCTGTGGGCATTCTTCAGTTTTCCCTGGAGCTTCCTAAACTCAGCCTGAAGGCTATTCTCATTCAGATCCCCTTTGGCTACCACAGTCTCCGCCATCGCCTCGCCCTTCTCCTTGTCTTCCTCCATCTCCCATCCATCAGACATTGCTTCTCCCATCTGTTCCTTCAGCTCTGCATTCTCAAGGCAAAGGCTCAGCATGGTGTTCCTGCAGGAAACACACATAAACAGAGGCCAAGGTCTGGTCTTGGCTGTAGCTTCTAATGGTCTCTTTTACAAAAGAGGGATACCACAACTGCTGTAGAAAAGTTTAGTGGTCCCTCAAAAAACTAAGCATAGAATTATCATATGGCCCAACAACTCCATTCCTAGGCATATACCCAAAAGACTTGAAAGCAGAACACAGATACTTGTACACCAATGTTCATTGCAGCATTATTCATAATAGTCAAAAGTTGTAAACAACCCAAGTATCCATCAACAGATGAATGGATTAAAAAAATGTGGTACATACATACAATGGAGTATTACTCTGCCATAAAGAGAAATGAAATCTTGACACATGCTACAATATGCATAAATCTTGAAAACATTATGCTGAGTGTTATGGATTGAATTAAGTTTCCCCCAAATATGTGTTGTAAATTCTAACCTCTATGGTCGTGGTTATAATCCCATTTGGGAATGAGTTGTCTTTGTTATGTTAAAGAGACAGGATTAGTGTACAGTGTATCTTGAGTCACGTTCTTTTGAGATATAAAAGAGATTAAACAAGCGAGCAGAAGCAGAGATGGTAAAAGAGAGATGCCAGGCCACGTGAAGATTGCCCAGGAGCAGAAGCTCAAAGAGAAAAGGACCTTCCTCCAGAGCCGACAGAGAGAGAAAGCCTTCTTCTAGAGCCAGCACCCTGAATTTGGACTTATAGCCTCGTAAACTGTGAGAAAATAAATTTCTGTTTGTTAAAGCCATCCATTTATGGTATTTCTGTTATAGCAGCACTAGATAACTAAGACACTGAGTGAAATAAGTCAGTCATAAAAGGACAAATATTGCATGATCCCACGTCTATGATATATATACAACTGGAAAATGTATAGAGACCAAACATATAGTACTTTCAAGGGTAGGAGGGAAGGGGGAAAGAGGGAGAGAAAGTCATTGATCGTGGCGGGGATACTGAGCTTTTGTTAAGGGGTTGGAAAATTTAGAAATGGATAGTGGTGATGGTTGCATAACATGATGAAAGTAACTAATGTCACTGAATTGTACATGCAAAAAAATTGAAAAGAAAAATTTTTGTTTTATATATATATACATACGTATATATGTGTATATATATAAACATATATATACACGTATACACACACACTGTATACACACACACACACATATACTCACCATAAAAAATCAATTAATTAATATTTAAAAAAAAGAGGGTTACTGGACATACATCTAGGAGATTTCCACCCATGACTGTTAAATATGTTTGGCTAATGATGTACATTGTTATATCAAATTAAGATCAGATTTACTTCAATAATAAAAGTGGTTAACATTATCCATTATCATGGATTTTTCTCTAAAGAATTTATAGAATTGTTAGGCATGAAGCCTGGGATAGGGACCCAGAAAGACCCAATAGCACCAGGAATGTCTTGGGAGCAGCAGGGTGAGCCCCTTGGCTGTGTTGGCCTCTCCCCTATGTTGACAGGCTCCCTTCCGCTGGGGAGGATGTCCCACCTGATGTGGGACACAGAGGAGAATCCTGCTTCCTCGATTTGAGCCTTTAGCTCCTTCAGTTCCCCCTCAGCTTTTCTCTTCCCCTCTAAGTGCTGGTGAATCTCAGCCCTCAGGTGGAGCATTTCCTCCTGAAGACCCCTGTTACTGTCCCCTCCTGTTGGGGAAGGAGGAGGAAGAGATATGTTCTGGGTCTCCACAGCTGCTAGACTTTTCTCCAAAGCCACCTTGATGATCTGAAAAAAAGATCAAAGTTCAAAGAAGTTAGGTCATTAGAGAGGATCCAAGAGGAATGTAAGACTTCAAAGGCAGCCTTTAATGGGAATGAAAAAGTCAAACCTAAAATGAACCCCCACTCTCAGTATTTCCTCAGCCATAAGGGCCCTGGAGACTTGTCTGAGTAAGCAGGTCATACCAAGTGAGCAGGGGGAAATGCTGCTGTGGGGAGGCAGAGGGGAATCCAGATTTGGGTGAGAAGAAAACATAAGCACATAGTAAATTAAAAACACAACTCAACAAATAAAAAGATAAATAAACCAATTAAAAATGAGCAAATGATTTGAATAGATTTTTTTTCCAAAGAAGATATACAAAAGACCAATAAGCACATGAAAAGATGCTCAACATCATTAATCGTTGCTGTTGTTGGGTGCTGTGGAGTCAATTGAAACTCATAGCAACACCATGTGACAGGATAGAGCTGCCCCTTAGGGTTTTCTTGACTGTAATCTTTATGGAAGCAAATATCCAGGTCTTTCTCCCTTGGGAAATGAAAATCAGACCACAGTGAGATACCACTTCATACACATTAGAATGGCTATAATCAAAAAGACAGGTAGTAAGTGTTGGGGAGGATGTGGAAAAACTGAATCGCTCATACATTGCTGGTGGGAATGCAAAATGGTGCAGCTACTTTGGAAAATAGTCTGTTAGTTTCTCAAAAAGTCAAACATCGAATTACCATATAATGAGGCAATTTTACTCATAGGTATATACCTAAGAGAATTGAAAACATATGTTCACACAAAAACTTGTACATGGATGTTCATAGCAGCATTATTCATTATTCATAATAGCCAAAAAGTGGCAATAACCCAAATGTACACTAACTGATGGGTGGATAGCAAAATGTGGTGTATCTCTACAATGGAATATTATTTGTTCAGTCATAAAAAGGAATGAAGTACTGAAACATGTTCCAACATGGCATGAACCTTAAAAACATTGTGCCAAGTGAAAGAAGTCAGGTACAAGGCCACATATTGTATGATTCCATTTACATAAAATGTCCAGAATAGGCAAATCCATAGAAGTAGAAGGTAAATTAGTGTTTCGGGCTAAGTGGTGGGTGGGAGTGGGGAGTGACCGCTAATGGGTCCAGGGCTTCTTTTTAGGATAATGAAAATGTTCTGGAATTAGATAGTGATAATGGTTGTACAACTTTGTGAGTCTACGTAAAACCACTTTGAAAAGGTGAAATTTATATGTGAATTATATCTCAATAAAAAATATTTTAAAAATAACAATGGAAACAAATGGGGTTTCAATAGGACTGGGGTACACAGTCGTGATTCTTCTCTTCCTAAGGGGATAAATTTCCCTGAGAGTCTCCTCACAAGTCAGGAAGCTTCAACAGCCCCACAACACTTAAGTCCTTGACTGCAAAGATCATGGCCCAAGATATCAGAGCTCAAAGCCTAATGCCATGCCTGTAGCCCAGGCTCCAAAAAGGATGACTAAGAGAAAAGACTCAGGGCGCTCAATCCAGAATTACAATATGGGCAGAGCTACAGGTAAAACAAAGCAAGTTTTATTTCATTGACAGCAGAAGAATCACTCCTACAATTACTGAGAAGTTAAAGTGAGGCAACTGCATCCAGAGGTAAATTTCACTTTCTGGTTATTACCCTTGAGATGCTGCTGCCAGCTAAACTCTAAAAATCTAAGAAGGAAACAAGGCAAAACAGTTTCCCAACACCTTTCTTTCTCTTGAGGATACTCTTGAAGTTACTCCTTAAAGCAGGTCTTATGTTTTTTCTTCAAACGAGTTTTTTAACTGGTAGTTTTTCTTATTGTTCATCTTGCACTCTCTCCCATTTTTCCCCATGCTTTTAAAAGTGTAGAAACCAAAACCTGAATAGGATAATCTTAGTATATAACTCTGCCACCTGTTTGTCAGTTTGTAGTACTGTGGTGGCTTGTGTGCTGCTGTGATGCTGGAAGCTATACCACTGTATTTCATATACCAGCTGGTTTCCTAATGGACATGAAACAGGTTGGACAGGTTTCAGTGGAGATTAAGACAGACTAGGAAGAAAGGTCTGGCGATCTACTTCCGAAAATTAGTCAATGAAAATCCTACGGATCACAACAGAATATTGTCCAATGTAGTGCTGGAATATAAGCCCCTTAGGTTGGAAAGCACTCAAAATACAGTGGCCACAAACAATGAACTGGAACATACCAACAATTACGAAGATGGTACAGGACAGGACAACATTTCGTTTTGTTGTACATCGGGTTGCCATGAGTTGGAGCTGACTCAATGGTAACTAACAACAACAGTGTATAAGTAATTATTTTAGCAGAAGAATTTCTTGCTGTCTGTCCAATATTATTCTTAATACATTGCAATGTCACATTGGCTTCTTTTTCATCTCAGTGGAAGCATTTTGGGGTTTAACTTCAAGTCAATTTAGATTTCTGAATTTTCTACCCCTACCCATAGCTATTTGTGGGACATTTTTTGCTCTTTCCTCTGTGAATATTGTGACTTGTACTTGTCGCTTATCAATTTAATTTTGGATATACACAATTAGGTCCCAACTATCAAAGTCATCAACATATTTGATGTGTATCTCCATCAATCATGAAGTGGCCATGTAATTAGGGATGATTTGTAAAATTAATTCTATGCTTCATACCTTCATTCAGGTCACCAATATAGTGAATAGAACAGGGTCTAGAGCAGTTTATAGGGATCACTGATTGACAGAGCTGCTAGGGTTAGCACAAGGCCATTGACCTTTGCTTTTGACCTTGTAACAAAGCATGGTAACATCCAGGCCACGGGTTTGTGGCAGAGTTGATTCGTGGCATGTATGTGCAATGGCGTCTAGTAGGACAGCAGTTGAGGTTGCGAAAAGACAAGCACACAAGGCAGGGAAGAAAGAGATTATCAGCTGCTCAGTTCCTCCAATCCCACACGAACTTTGTGAGCCTGAGATTTGGGAGGCTCTTGGAAATGTGTCTCTCTGGTTCTGCTGCGGGGCATAGGCAGGCTGGTAGCCACTTCTGTATGTGGCACAAAGCATTTGTGGCAAACTAACAGGGGACTGGATAAAACAACTTTTGAAAGTTTATGACCCTGCTACTCATTTAAGCTATGTGCTATCTTTCTATATAAAAACCTTCCAATTAGCTAAAATGAATATTACCATCAGCTTTAAATTCAGGGACATTTATTCTTTTCTAAGGCTTAAGTGTTCTTTCTGCTAAAAATCAATGTCTAATTTTAATGATGCCTAAACACATGGGGTTGCCATGAATTGGAATTGACTCGACGGTAATGGGTTGTGGACCCACTTTGAAATTATCTTCTGGATATACGTTATCTTGTTCTATTGGTTTAAATATACCCAGTCTTAAAAAAAATTTTTTTAAGACCCATGGGATGTTCATACTGGAAGAGACCTTAAGGTCCATCTAGTCCAATTTCCCACTTTAAAAAGAGAAAATAGAGATCTGGGTTTTTTGTCCAGGCTAACTTGTGTTTTCATTTTTCCATCTCAGAGGAGGCTTATTTTGGCTAACTAGTCTTTAACAATTAAAATACTTAGGGGCACTGAGTTTTGTTAAGGAAGATGGAAAATTTGGAAACTGTGGTGATGGCTGCACAATATGACAAACATAATTAATGTCACTGAATTGTATAAGGAAAAAGTGTGCAAATGGCAAAAAATTAAAATGTAAATGCATGGAAAGTGACTTAGGATCTAGTCTTTTTATTAGCTTTTCCTTATCATCTATGAAAAGCAAGTATGTCTGTTCTTTCCTAAAATACCAGGTCTTCACTATAAGCCGGAACTGACTCTACGGCAGCAGGTTTTTTAGTACTTTTTTTAGCATGTGTGATGGTAGTGTGACTCCTTTAGGTGTACTGCTAATTATATCTCCTTTATTTCACTTGTTCTATTTCTTTCATGGACTGATTCAAACTTCTTGTGTGTTGGGTTTCCATTTGCCCCGCAGAAGTCTATGTGCAGATCTGATCTATTGCTTGAATATAATTGTTTTATTTTTACACTATTGCTTCATACCTCTCACAATGTAAGTCAGTTCTCAGATGCCATAAGGACTTTAAAAAATGACGTTTTCTCAAGTTCATCCTACTTCGTCTATTGACTTTACTCTCCTTTGTATTTGATTATTGAGTAATTTTCTCCGTTGCAAAAGATCAAATGGAGAAAGGCAATGGACTTGGTTGATTACTCTTGTTTCACAGAAATTTCCTAGGATTTGTTATAGAACTTACGTCTGCTTGAGAATGGCATTATTCAAGGGATACCTGGAGAAAATTACTATTAAGGCCAGACCTGAGACTTGCTGAGGTGTGTAAGTCCAAAAATGAGGAGGAAGCAACTTGTTTTGGCCACAATGTGGTTCTTGTCTTGTAAGGAACACAAAATTTGGATGTGTTTGTTAGCAGTAGTGTGTGTGTGCTTGAGGTGGGTAGGGAACGTGTTAAGAATAGAGTCCTGTTTTCAAAGACACAACAAGGAGGCATTCAAAGCCTAATCTTAAGCGACTATTTCCCTGGAAACAAGTAAATAAAATTTTGAGAATCTGGACACAAAAGAGCTTTGGAAAAGCAATCTTTATTTAATTGGCAGCATATGAATTGAACCCTCAAACTCCCAAAAAGTTGAAGTAAGTTTACAATGATTTCACACACCAAGGTTCCTCCTCCCTAAAAGGCTGATTTTTGAAGAAAGGCGACGGAAAAAAAAAAAAAAAAATGATGCTTACCCAAGAAATTCTTCATCCAGAAGGCATATACTTTATCATGAGTCAAAACCCCGATCCAAAGGTTTATTAACTCAAAATTTACTAAGTATCTCCTGTGCCAAGTAATGTGACAGGCATTGTGAGGGAACTACAAACGGCCCAAAGTAAACATTTATTCCAGGGTTAGACTGACCTTCTCAAAATGAGGTCTAGTAATTTTTTCCATGCTAGGCTACAGGAAAGAATGCTGAAGAAGGAATGACTTTAGAACCCAGTTTGCCTAGAACTGAGAATTACAGCAAAGGACTCACACTACCAGGGATAGTTTTGACCATGCTGAGAATCTGGCTCTCCTCATACCACTGTCTCCGGATCATTTATTTTCAAGTTTATCCTGTCCCATAGTAGTAATAACCACCAGTGACTAGCCAACATCCCAGTCTAGCTGTCTTAGAATGGACATTTGCTCATCCTGCAGGTCCATTTCTCTCTCACCCAATATCCTCAATAAAGTCAGAAAATGAGGGGTAGCGGGATTTATCTGAGATGCAGTGGTGTACACAGTTAAGGTCACAAGTCTCAGTTAGCGGGACTCAAAATAAGCAGTTCAAGCAAAAGGAGAAGCAGAGTTCATGCAGGAACTCATGGAAGAGGGAAGGGGTCCTAATGGTTAAAGTAACAAAAAGGAAATCTTAGTAGAAGGTAAAGAGACTCTGTTAAGGACATGAGATATCCCCAACAACTACACATGTCCTCAAGAGCCAAAGGCTGTGCCAAACCCTGTAAGATTTGGGTACTGTTCACTTGGACTCTTCCCGTTGGTTTATTAGATGTCTTCTTTTTTTCTTATGCAGAAGAGGAAGAGGCAGACCCAGAAAGCCTTTTTTCCCCTACAGTGTTTTTTAATGGCCCCAAGGAAGCTATCACTGGAAAAGCCCAACTTCTTCTGCAGAAAGGTAGATACCAATGATCCACTTTCCCCTTAACAACTTAGGGAGTCCCAGACATGGTCTGTCTAGGAGATGTGATTGCTAAAAGTCACTGGGCAAGATGGAGACACTTAAGATTTCCAGTGAGTGCTGTGGGGTCACTATCGGTGACTCAAGCTCTGAGGTCCAGGACATTCATTCTTGGTCTTGACAACATGCTTGTTATCTTCACTGATAGTAGGTGTGAACAGTTTTTCAGACTTGAGTGTCAAGTTCTCAGGTTAGGCAGGGCTTGCTCTTGCAGCACCATCTACTGGTGATCAATTTATCAAGACCTGGGTGGTTTGTCAGATTGCACTGCAAAGTTCTCTTTTGTATAATGAGAAAGATCCCCGTGTTGTAAGCACTCAGTTCCTCTTGGAGTTTCTCAGAAAGTTCTCTCCCCAGGCAGGTTGTAGGCCCTGCCCCCTCCCCAACTAGCCCTTAGATGACTCCCTGTCTTGTGTGGTGTGTTTCAGTACAAAAACCCAAGAGAAGAAGTGTCCATTGTCTTGTTGTAAGTAAAAATTCTTTTCAAGCTATAGCTACAGAGGGTAAATAGGGGAAAAGGTGGGTAGGAGATGGCAGGGGGCAACAGTAAGAGAGACAGAGGAGCAAAGACAAAAGGATGGGTCGGAGAGAAAAATGCAGAGAGGATAGGCGTTAAGGAGGCAGCTGGGAAGTTCAGGGAGGACACAAGAAAAGACTGGGAAGTGGTTTATATAAAAGATATCTTTCACTCTAGGTCCACAAGAGCTGCAGGAGACCATCAGACCCCAGAAGGGCTGTGTGCCTTCCACCCTGAGAACCCCAGGACCTGACACTGACTTACTTGCTTGTGGCTGTTTTGTGCAGCCTCCTCCTCAATACTGTCAGTGAACTCAGTACTCGCATCTTCAGTGTCGTCCCCTGCAGCTGCACCTGGAAGTAAGTCCAGAAGAGAAATGTGACTCCCTTCACAGATGGCTTCCAGACAGCAGCTAACATTACATTCTTTTTGCCACCTGCCTCTGATTTCTTCTGTCCCCATATGCAATGCCCTTTAGCTAGCAGGGCCAACAGAGAAGGCAGAGCCAATAGATTGTGCCAAATCTGTGGAAAAGCCTTCTCCCTGTATCACTGATATTTGCTTACTAACACCTAAGCCCAAGTCTTAAAACATTAGCTCTCCTTTACTGCACAGACCTCTGCCTAAGAAGTCGATGGTCAGGATGGAGCGGTTACCCCTTCGTCTATTTCCAGAAAGCCTGAATTTCTTCCTGCCTCACCACTGACTGGCTATGTAATGTCAACTTTCTCTTCTGTAACATGGGTCAAGCATGACTAACCTTTTTCCCACCAGTGAGTGCTGAGAGGGTCACTGATTTTCCAGAGACAAGGCCAACCTTGTTCTCACCCTTTTCCATTTTGGAGATCAGTTGTGCAATGGAGTAATGATCTGAGGAACTCTCCTTTGAGGTCCCTGAGTCCTACAGAAATTCTGGTCTAGCTAGTCAAGACCCAAGGCACAGAATAGTTTAGGTGTGTCCTAATTCCTTGCTCTAGTTTCCCCTCTTCCCTATCTCTTCCAAACTCTTATTCAATATCAACAACTTTGCCTGCAGGACTTACCACGTTGCTTTGTCCATATGGTACCTAATCCATCCTGTACTCCCAAAAGCTGGACTCAGTCACTAGGAGCACAAACATTTACATTCTGCCCTAAGGGACAAGTAGCTGCAGTTTGTAGTCTGGGCAAAGGTCTAGGGAAACACTGACCAATAGAACTTTCTTCAGTGATGGCAGTGTTCTGTATCTGAGCTGCCCAATACAGTAGACATTAGTCACATGTGGCTATTGAGCACTTGAAATGTGGCTAGAGTGACCAAGGAATGGAATTTTTAAGTTAAATTAAACTTAAGTTCAAAAAGCCATATGTAGCTAGTGGCTCAGTATTGGAAAGCACAAATTCAGGGCATTTCTCCTTCTCCACATCTATCAGAACACTGTCCACCTAGTTTTAGATCAATACTTGTGTCCTACATTGCTGATTCTTCTGAAAGTGTAGGAATTCATAATGATTAATTCATTTAAACACCAAAGAAAAATCTACCATGACCTTCCTGTGTCTTACAGAACTTGCCTAAGTTAAAGAACCTCAAGATCTAGTTCTGACCGCGACCTCAGCAATCCATCTGTTAAAACTCTGCTCCTGATGGCTGAGTAACCTGGGTTTCCAAGAGATTATGTGGCTTTTCCAAGGTTACACAGCTGGTCACTGACAAGAGCTGTGGAAGAAGCCAGGATCTAGACTCAGACAGGGGCACTCAGTGTTCCTTCTGACCTTTATCTTTGATCTTTATCTTTGCTTCTTCCTCCAAGACCAAAGGCTCTGCTCCTGAGCTCAGAGATGCATGGATGGAAGGCTTGAGCAGTGAGCATTCAGTACCCTCTGCAGATAAGGTGAACAGGGGTAGTTTCCACCTACACTCCTTCCTAGGCATCTGCAAGTCCATCCAGAATTATTTCAATGGCCCAGGCTGAGCTCATCAAAGCACTAAAGGATAGTGAGCATGGTGTCCTAATAGCTTAATCTTACGACTGGTTCCATAATCCTCACCATGAGTGTTGTGATAATTTTGGAGCAGGGTAGGACCCTGTTCAATAAAGCTCTGCCTACAAGGAGGCACCTCTACCACTCAGCATCCTTAGAGATCCATGGCAGACAGTGTACAATAGGGATTTCCAATACTTACTCTTTCAAACCTCAGCCTCAGAACCATCTCTATCAGAATACTGGTGACAAGGAGCTGAATGAACAAACCCCCTAAACTTTGGCTGTTTTGGAAACTCACTGAACCAGGATGCCAATTCATCTGAGGACATCGATATAACATTATTGTTACTTTTGAAAATCTGCCCCTGTACAACAGTAGAGATCAGAATCTTTTATTTTTTTTTCCTGCAAAGAAAATGAATTGTTCCACTCAGTGACTGATTAAGAAAACATACTTTTCATATTGCCTCCTTTCTGAGTTTTGGGATAGATAATGATTCTTTGGTTGAAGAAAGTTCAGCTCTGTGAGGCCCAGGATCCTCATCCTCATACCATTCTTGGTGGGCTGTATAGCCATGCTGGCCCACATCCCAAGAAGATTCCAGTCTAGGTTTCAGGAATAACGTATGTGGGGATTAGACAGGGTGACTGTCGCTGGTCTTAAAGGCTTTTCTCTGACACTTCCTGCCCTCCACTTACCTTTGTTGGCCTTCTGATGGATGACACATCTGCATTCCTATGTAATGCTCTCTCTTTAATTTACTCAGGGTCAGCGTGCCATCGTTTTGACTTCATGAGGAGTTAGATGGAGACTAAGCAAAAACGCTCATCTCATCCCAACACTCAGGGCTTTTGTTTGTTTTTGTTGAGGTTTTTTTTTTTTGGCTAGCTCACAGTCTGCTGTCCTTCCTTTGTGGCAGCTTTAAAGCTTATTCAGTTTTTTACCAATTGCTTTAGAATGCTAAAAGATTTGTTTGTGTATTTGAGGGGTAGAAGAAAGCTGAAAATTTTTTGCAGGAAACATGGGAATCAATGATCCCACCTAAGGTCCTAAATATGTTTATATTAGACACCCCCTTTATGTTGTTACCATTTCCATTTTCTTATAAATGACAATGAAAGAACTGCTTTTCTGTGGGACATTTCCTTTTCTAAGTTTTTATGAGGCAGCAAAACACTTTCCTCCAGAACTAATTTGGAATACTTTAAATTTCTAATTTAGAGATATCTACCATTTTATATTGATGAATCTTCTCCTTATTTTTGATAAAATCTGAAATAAAATGATCTGCCACCTTCAGATTCTCTAAAGGTAAGTATCTGTTCATTCAATATTAACTTGATTATCCTATGACTATTACATGCTAGACTGACAATTTTATTAAAAACTTTTATTTGAAGTTTCAGTGATAGTTCACAAGTTGTGGTCCTTGCAAGTCTCTAGGCTCTGAACCAGATAAAACAGAGGTGATACCAAAATGTCCCTTACTTTGATTTTAAAAATTATTTTCTACTATATATCTGATTCTACAAAGTACACAGAACTAAAACAATTCTCTAAAGCATAATAGTATGAAATCCTTGGGTGAAAATTTAAGCATTATGCAAATATGAGGTATTCTTATTATTGAGGCAAAAAAAATTCATATTTTTGTGGAGCTTCTTAAACTGAGGATGGCATGATGATTAAGAACATCAACTCTGGAGCCAGACTGGGTTTGAATTCTGCTTCTGCCAATAACTAGCAAGTCATCATCTTTCTGTAACATGGTATCCTCATTTTTTAATTGGGGTTAATAGTAATATCCACTCCATACAGTTGTGAACTTTACAGGGTTTGCTGCTTTTGAAGTGCTTAGAACAGTGTTTGGCACAGTGTGTGCTCAATAAATGTTACCCAATATTTTATTATTATTATTATTACTGATAAACTGAAGTAGTCCATGGGCTAAAAGGTTGAAGGCTGAAAAAGTAGAAGCCCTTAGAACCTAAATGTAGTTAGCAGAGGGAAGTTTTATAGCTGCTGTTATTAACTGGATGATCTTGGTTATTCTATTTGCACTTCTTCACTTCTGAATATCTGTTTCCCCTATCAGGAGGCTTTAAATAATACTCTTCTCTCCCTGCTTCACAGGACAGTGGAAAGAGCATAAAGTTGTCAGTAAAGTAGGATGAACTCTTTTTGAGTTTTTGCTTTACGAACAGAATTCATCATTAAATTATAACTGCCATAAAACTCCACTATGCTGGAATAAGCCTTAGAAGGAAATTAATTATATATAAAGTTTTATTTTAATTCTCCAGTAATGAGCCCCACCGGGGGGGGGGGGACGGGGGAGGTCGAGACCATCTTTCCCAAATTCTACTCTATAGTTATTATCTGTTCTTTAAGCCTATTTACATGGGATCAACAGAAAAAGAGTAACATTCCCCCATACTGTTACTCAGAATGTAGCAGGTGTCATATTTCACTAATTTTGAAAAGGGACTCAAAGAACTAAAACTTTACAGCATGACCAAGTTTGCTGTGCCAAGGGCCCAACCGTTCCTTCCCTCAGTGCCAGGCTCAGAGCCAGGTCCTCTTGGGCCCATCTCACTTTCATTCCCAGGCACCTCATCTGCCACATGCTCATTAAAAGAATTCCCATGGTTTCATCTTTCATGAACTAGTGCTGACTTTAATATTATGATGCTAGTTGAGAGAATCAAAGAAAAAAGATCAAACCATGCAATTTTGTTCATTCCTTTCTAGACCATAAGGCAACTCTAGGATTTCATAAAGTCTTCCACAAGCTTTGCCTAGAAATACAATTATTTAACTAGACAGTTTCTGATCTTGGAACAGAAGTAGCTAGATAAGAAAATTGCTGTCTGCAGTCAAACCCCTTTATGGTCTATCTTTGTCTTTAAAGTACAACATCTCTGAAGTAAACTGGAGGGACTTCCAGCTTGTACATTATTCAGAATCAGCAGCTGCTTTCTGCGACCTAAAAAGATATGATCATAATCTAAAAAACTTTTAGGGGTATTAAAACTCCCCAGGATTCTGGAAAGAGTTTTCACTTTTTCAAAAGGATAAGTATCCAATAAAACTAGACAGTCACCTATTCTTAGGCTGACCAGGACAGATGTAAACTGGGACTGTCCTGGGCAAACCAGATTTGACCACTCTATTCCATAATGTTCTGATTTTCACTCAAGGAATTCTTCCTCCTCATGGTCTCTTTTTATCCTAAAAGAACATAAGAAGCAGGCTTTACTAGGACCATTTACTGAGATACCACTGCCCACCAGAACAGTTGGTTCCTCAAATCTCTATCCTGCTTTCTGCTACTCTCCTTCAGGGGCAAGAAAGGGTTTCCAAGGTAAAGTAGCCCCTTTCACC